CCCCCCTGCCACTGTCACTGCCCCCCCCACCCACCCCGTGCCTCAGTTTCCCATCCAGGGAGACTCAACGCCAGCACTGGTGCAAAGGGCCCTGGAGGCTGCTCCCACCTGGGTCCGCCCCGCCCGGGGGTGCCCCCCGTACCTGAACACGCGCTCCTTGGCGGCGCTCTGCGCGCTGAAGCGCACCCACGCCTCCATGCTGCCTGCCCCCGCCCCGCCCCGGCCTCCCGGCGCAACCGAGTGCGGGGCACCGAGCCAGAGCACCACCACTTCCGGGAGGGCGCGGACGGGCCGCCGCGAGGGTCAAACACAGCGCACTGGCGCATGGGAAAGAGGCGGCGCCACCTAGCGCCCGACAGGGGAAGGGCAGGCGGCGGTGGATGCTGCAGCCCAGCCCCCTGCTCCCTCCGCAGCTGCTCTGTCCTCTTCCAGCCCCCGAGTCCTTAGCAGCCCCAGGCCGACAATGCCCAGGGGGTCCACGATCCCATCGCTGCCCAGGGGCTCCATGCACCCCCGTCTCTGCCCTGGGCCATCAATACCCAAGAGGTCCATGATCCCATCAATACCCAGGGGGGTCCATGTACCTCTATCTCTGCCCCAGGCCATCAATACCCAGGGGGTCCATGCACCCCTGTCTCTGCCCCAGGCCACCAACGCCCAAGGGGTCCGTGTACCCTGTCGCTGCCCCAGGGAAAATGGGGGAATCCTGGCCGCCAAAGGCAGGTGACTCATTCCCTTCTCCTCGCTCCCTCCCCGCATCGGGGAGCACCAGGGCTCTACCCCTGGAAAGGCCGCGTGCACTCACACACTCTCCCAGGCAGCGAGCCCCTCTCATGCGTCAGAGGGGACACGGAGGCGCTGGCAGAGAGGGGAGGCGCGTGCAGCTTGCAGTCAGTGAGTCGGCGGCAGAGATGGCAATGGACCCCAGGAGTTCTGGTGCCCGGGCTCCTGGTCCAACAAAACTCCTGGTTGGACCAGGACAGGACCCAGGAATCCTGCTTCGACCACAGGTCGCCAGTGCCTTTGCTACCCACGCTGTGATCCTCTCCCCTGCCCGCCCAGCCACACAGAGTTTCTCTCTGCCATGTCCGTGCTAGTGTGAGGTGCTGATTTTTAAGACACGCTGAGAAGGCGTGAGGACAGGAAGGTGCCAGCAGGTGCCCGGGCTCCTTCCCAGCCTCCGCTTCTGCCAAACAACAGGGAGACCCGGGGCATAGCACAATGAGACAACAATGCTTGATTCTTCCTGCTCACACCGCTGCACACTATCTAATTATGAGCCTGGGATAAAGGCTGTTTGTTCCACGGCCTCTTCTGCCACTCCGCGGAGCCCTAATGATACAGCTCAGCACAATACCGTTTTATTTTCGACGGCGTCTTTCTGCAGGCGCAAGATGCTTCAGAGAGCAGAGGGGTGTGAGAAAAAGGGACAGCTTCGGGGGAGATTAGGAAAGTGGAGGCAATGAGGCAGAAAGCTATGCTAGCTCAGCAATCCTCAACCAGGGTGCCATGGCACCCTGGGGTGCTGTGAGATCTTTTCAAGAGAGCCCTGAGGTATTGTGCAAGACCAGCACTGTTAGGTGTGTTACCATCTGTACAAGATTCACAAGCAACCCAAGGATTTCAAATTGGAGTCTGGAGTGTCCCAAACACCCCACCCTGATGTGGGCTCTCCGAGGTCTTGGCAACAGAAAAATTGCTCTGATATTTTTCAGTAGTCAAAAAAATAAGTGGAAGCTGAGAGCTGGCATTTTCCAAGGGACGGTTGAGTCTAACGAGGAGTCTATAAAGGCTGCAGCTTGTGGGCTTTTGCCACATGAGCAGGGAGATTGTGCAGCAGGATGTACATAGATACAAGTCCTCAGGTGATGGGAACGGCACAAAGATCCGAAGAGGAAAAAAAAACTCTGACAGCAGCAAAGATGCCGTTTAGATCTGACCCGATTCTTAGAGTCCTGTAAAGCGTTTGAACACGTTGGGAGAGAGACAGAAGTCAGGGACGGACAGGCCAGCGGCACGGTACGCTGCAAAGCGCCGACCTGGACAGCGCTGCGTCCCGCTGCGGAGCTGTCACGGACCCGAGGCCTCTTGTTCGTGGTTTATCGATGCCATACGTTGCATGGCAGGAACGGGGCAAGGCGCGGGGCTGACATTCCTGCAGCTTCAGGGAAGGCCCGGGGGACGAGGCTGCCTGTGGCGTGAAGGGCCAAGTTGAGTGAACTCCCTGTGGCTCAAGGGAGTGTGCAAAAGGCACATGCCTGCTCACTGGGGTGTGCAAGGGGCGTGCGTCTGCTAATTGGGGCATGCGCCTGGTTGGTGGGGCATGCAAGGGGCGTGCCTTTGCTAATTTGGGTGTGCGAGGGGTGTGCGCCTGCTTGTTGGTGGTGACTTGACAGCAGAGCAAGGCCGGAAGCTGATGTCCAGCCTGGGCCGTGGCCGCAGACGCGGGAGCAGAACCCAAGAGTGCGGCTGCCTGTTCTCGCCCTGCCTAGGCTAGGAGACTGTGCACTCAAGACCTTGGCCCCAGTATCCCAGAATCCTTTGCAGTTAGCCACACTTCCAAGGTGCTTTGCGCTGCTCTGTGCCTTCGTCATCACCATCCCTAGGTGGTGTACCCGTGCTCTGATTGGCCGGAGGGCCATAATCCCCGCCCCTCACCCCTAGAGCTGTCCCTGGACAACGCCCCTGTGGTCCATTGAACCATTTGATTGGCTGTTGCCTTTCCCCGCCCCCCACTTTCAGCCAATCAGAGCGCGGCTGGGCTCCCTCAGTGCCCACCCCTACCTCTGGGGCTGTGACTGGGATAGGCCTCCCCCAAACCCCGCCCCTTCTCTTGCTGATTGGATCACAGTTCCCCCTCCCTCGGGGAGAGGCTCCTTTTCAGTGCCCGCCCACTCCCGCGAGACACTCTGATTGGATACCTTCCCCGGGGGCTCCGGGCGGCGATTGGGCACCTCCCTCTAAAGTCTCCGCCTCGTCCCCGGGGGAG